TCCTGTCTTTTTAACCATAACCCTCACGGTTTGGCACCTGCTTTCTGGCACAACCAGATATGCCAGCCCATCTTGTAGTTTCTCTGGCAAACCCTGAGATTAGTTATTATTTCCAAGGATCCCCTGTTCCTTTTAGTGTGGAATGGCATATAGAAATGAAAATCTGAGTTCTGCCACTGGAGTAGTATTGCTTCTATGCCTTTTCAGCAGACAGGGATAGGAAACAGATGTCTGTGTCTGTGTCTATAAAGGTCATGAGTTCATACTGCTACCTTTAGTTCCAGTGCAACGCTAAGTATAGGTTGGCAGGTAGCTTTCAACAAATGGAATATATCATTCCAGTGGCTTCTAATAGCTTCTGTCACCAGTTATGAAAAATTCTCAGCTTGAAAGGGATCCCATTTGCCAATCTGAGACAAGTTTAACATTAAAATAAATAATAACTGTCATTATTTCTTCGTATACTGCCTCTGCCTAATTCTTTTTCTGTTTCTGCTGGAAATGCAATCAGATATATTTTAAACCTTCTCATGCTAGCTTCGATGTGTCTTAACCACTTCCCTTGCTATCTGTCTCTCTGTGCTGCATTCGGATAGTTTATTCTGACCTGTCTTCACATTCACAAATTCTCTTTTTAATTATATAGTCTAAAATCTATACATCCATTAGAGTTTTTAGTTTTGGTTATTGCATATTCTATTTGTTTTTCTTTGGTCAGCTATGTCATTTTTATTTTATATCCCCTGGATATATTTTGAAGATAGTCTTCTATTTGAAAATACTGAGCATGTTGTATCTGGTAATTCTAATATCTCAGGTCTTTGCAAGTCATTTTCTGCTTTCTCCTGTTTTTGCTGATTCTTACTCATGGCTCTTTGTTTCTCTGGGCTGATGACCTTAACTATTTATTGCTGATTGTTCTTGGGAAATCAGTTCTGGACTTCCTAAGGCCTAGGTTGAAGTGTTTTCCCCTTAGGGAATTTGTATTTGCTTCTGCCAGGAGTTTGGAACATTGTTAGACCAGAATTGTTTCAAACTAAAATCAGGACCGGAAGTATATTGGAACGCTTATATTATGTTAAATTAGACTACTAATGTACTCTCAAGTTAAACCGTGATTTTCAACCACCACCCCTCCCCTAAGAAAGTTTAGTTCAATTTTTCCCATAGTCTCTTGGGGCTAAAGGTCCTAAGTAAGTTTACCTATTTCTCACTCTCACCTTAAAGACAGCCCTTACTATTCCTGCCGTAATGGTAGGTGATCTCACAGATTCTGCCTGTGGTAGGCCTAGGGCTTTGTCTTGTGTCCCCTTGGCCCAAACAGTTTATCAAATTGCAGATCAGTTTCATCTGGATAGTCAGATACCCTCGGGGCAAAAATGGCATTTAGGTATACCACTGGTTAATTCTCTGAGTTCCTGTGACTTCTTACTAACTTGCCAACTTAACTTTGTATTTATAAAATTTTAAAACATAAATTTCATGTGCCAACTTTAGTTGTTTTCAATAGGAGCATTGGTCTGAATAACCTAACGTATCTCTTTACAGGAAGCAAAGTTACTCTATATATTTTTGTGTTTTTTATTTCTTTCACAATAAGCTTTATTTAAAATTTTTTAAAATTATTATTATCTTTTATTTACTTATTTATTTTTGAGACAGGGTTTCACTCGGTTGCCTAGGCGAGAGTGGAGTGCAGTGGTGCATTCACAGCTTACTGCAACCTGAAACTGCTGGGCTCAAGCGATCCTCCCGCCTCAGTCTCTTGAGTAGCTGGGACTACAGGTGCACCACCACGCCTGGCTAATTTTTTATTTTTTGTAGAGATGAGGTCTTGCTATGTTGCCCAGGCTGGTCTGGAATTGCTGAGCTCAAGTTATTATTCTGCCTTGGCCTTCCAAAGCACAGGGATTATAGGTGTGAGACACCTCGCCCAGCCTAAAAAATTATTTAAAAAAGGAAAATAAAACTACCCAAAAGTAAAATAAGCAGACAACATAAATACACAAACTGTAAAAGAATAAATGTAAATGATATGTTAGAAAAAAAAATTCACCCTCACTGCTAGTCAAATAAATATAAACGAACAACCAGTTTTCACCTATCACATTGGCTAGGTTTTTAAAAAGTTTTTACTTGAAGCTTAGATAAATACAATGAGATGGGATATGCTCCTATGCTGCTAGTGGGAATATAAAGTGATATACCTTCTTCTAGATAAACAGCGACATTATAAAATAGTCTATGGAAAAATCTGAAGAATTATACATTTTGTCAGGGGTTGGCAAACTACAGCCCACAGGCCAAGTTTGGCATCTATTTTTGTATGGCTCTATCAGCTAGGAGTATTTTTTTTTTTTTTTTTTTTTGAGACAGAGTCTCACTGTGTTGCCCGGGCTAGAGTGCCTTGGCGTCGTCCTCACTCACAGCAACCTCAAACTCCTGGGCTCAAGCGATCCTCCTGCCTCAGCCTCCTGAGTAGCTGGGACTCCAGGCATGCGCCACCATGCCCGGCTAATTTTTTCTATATATTTTTAGTTGTCCAATTAATTTCTTTCTATTTTTAGTAGAGACGGGGTCTTGCTCTTGCTCAGGCTGGTCTCTAACTCTTGAGCTCAAACAATCCGCCCACCTCGGCCTCCCAGAGAGCTAGGATTACAGGCGTGAGCCACCGCGCCCGGCCTAGCTAGGAGTATTTTTTACATTATTAAAGGGTTGAGGGGAAAACACAAATTAAGTATATGTGGTAGAGACTGCATGTGGTCTGCAAAACTTAAAATATTTGCCATCTGGCCTGTTATATAATTGCATTCACTATGATATGCATGTATTAATTATATTTGTAGAAGTCTGTCAGGAATAATCAGATATGGGCAGACTAAAGGTTGATTTTGACTGAACCTACATTTTTAACAGTAAATAGAATGGATAAATAGTCAGAAGACATCCACACAGTAAAGCCATTTTCCAGAAATAATTAATGAAATAGGGAAATGTTCCTAATGAAGTATAAGATGCAAAACTATATGTGTAATATTTCATACCATATATCACGGGAAGACTGCAAGGAGATACATTAAATTTTCAAGTGTTTATCTGTGAGTAATGTTAGGATTAGAGATGATTTGGTTTTTCATGCTTTCTCATGTCTCAGTTTTCTGTTATGAGCTTACATTATACTTATGGTCAAAGAAAAAAATATATCTTTGCTACTTCCATTATGTCCACTAAAAAATATGAAGACAGCCAGGCACAGTGGCATGTGCCTGTAATCCCAGCTACTCAGGGGGCTGAGGCGGGAGGATCACTTGAGTCCAGGAGGTTGAATCAGCCTGGGCAACATAGTGAAACCCCCATCTCTTAAAAAAATGTTTTTAAATTTTAAAAAAGAATATGAAGAGACATGACAGTTGAAAAAATAAAGAACTCTTTGAGGGATATGTCCATGATTTTTTTTTTCTTTCGATAACCCTGTCATTATGATAGATATGTCCATGTTTTATTCATCTTTATATATCCATACATATCAGATATGCTAGGTGCTTGGTGAATGTTTGTGAATGGGCGACTAGGTAATAAACATGAAAAACTGCTCAGCCTTAAGGAAATACAGATTCAGATTATGTATGTATGGCCTATCATTTTTCCCTTATCAAATTATCAAATGCTTAATAAAAACGCTTGTATTTTTTTTTTGGAGGTGTGATTGACATAATAAAATTCACCCTTTTTAAAATGTACAGTTTGATGCATTTTGAAAACAATAATCATGTTACCATCCCCACTGTCAAGAGCAGGAACATTTCTATTTCCATCACCCTAAAACATTTCCTTGTACCCCTTTGTAGTCAGTTCTCTCCTCTCTCCTAATACTTGGCAGACACTATTCTGGTTTCTGTTACAACAGTTGTCCCTTTTCCAGAGTGTTATATAGATAGAATCATAGAGTATGTCGCTTTTTGTTCTGGCTTCCTTAGCATAATGCTTTTGACATTTATCTATATACCAGTGGATGGTTTATTGTTGAGCAGCATTCCATTGGATATACTGCATTTTGTTTATCCATCCACTGGGTGATAGACATTTGGGCTGTTCCCAAGTTATTATGATTATGAACAAATTTGCTATAAACACTGGGGTTACAAATCTTTGGCCACAGATTTTCATTTCTCCTGGGTAAATACCTAACAGTGGAAGTGCTGGGTCATATATGGTCAGTATATTTATAACTTTATAAGAAACTGCCAACCTGTTTTCCAAAGTAACTGTACCATTGCATTCCCACCACTTGCTAAGGTGTTGAAACAAATACTGCTGTAACTCTTTTGGAAAGCATTTCGTCAGTTTGAATTAAGTCAGTAAAAATGTTTATTTTCTTCGACCCTCAAGAAAGTCTTTGTGGCTGGACACAGTGTCTCATGCCTGTAATCCTAGCATTTTGGGAGGCCAAGGTGGGAGGATCACTTGAGGCCAGAGGTTTGAGACCAGCCTGAGTAACACAGCAAGATCCCTGTCCCTACAAAAAATAAAAAAATTAACCAGGCGTGGTGGCTCACACCTGTAGTCCCAGCTACTCAGGGGGCTGAGGCAGGAGGATCACTTGAGCCCAGGAGTTTGAGGTTGCAGTGAGCTATGATGATGCCATTGCACTGTAGCCTGGGCAACAGAATAAGACCTTGTCTCAAAAAAAAAAAGAAGAAGAAGAAGAAAAAGCAAAAATGTCTTTGTAAGGGAAAATCTGAAATATGCACAGAGATATCTATCGAATTACCGTTGTAATAGAAGACTGTAAAACATGTACACCACAGCTGTTGTCTTTAGATGCTTTAACCGTATATTCAGCACTAAACTGGGCATTATGGTGGGTTCAAAAGAGATTTAAGGCATGCTCCTTGACTTATGTAGCTTACAATCTGGTTAGAAAACAGTGTAAATTACATGAAATTATCAGTAAGCAATGCAATACTGCGTTAAATGAGTTTTAACGTATGCCATATTAGGAAGAACGAGCAGTAAGGCTGATGACTCGGAAAGATTTCATTCAGCAAGGTTTTGAAGCATGGCTAAAGCTTGAGTTGGAAGGTTGGAGCTTTCTAGGAGGTAGAACACAATGTGAGTAGAGGTAAAATACAGCCTCAATATGTACAAATCATTGGAATGCATATATGGTGAGGTAACAAAACCATGTTATTGGAGGCTCTTACAATGCAGCAGGAACAGCATAAGCTTTCAAAGCTGGAAAGACTTTGCTGTGAGGCTCGTCATTCTTATAAAAAGGCTTTGAGATAGTCTGGGACACAGCAGATGGTCAGTAAATGGTAGATCCAATCATTTTTATTAATATTAATACAACCAGTAGGAATTTAAGCTCAATAGAGTAGTTTGATAAGGAACCATTGCTATCTTTTGAAAAGAGCAGTAAACATTATATAAATTATATTCATGGTCATTTTTTTCTAGTAGTTTATGTAGGATACAAAAGAGGAGAAGGGAAGAAAAACTTTTTTACCCTAAGTATGATCTACAGATTGGGGAGCCTCTTGGAAGCAAAAACTTTATCCTATTGTTACTTTTGTCTCCCATGATTGGCCCATTATATGAGGAGTGGTAATAGCTGGTCACAGGATTTATAATTAATCCAATGAAGGCATAGAGAAGACTATCTAGATTATTCTGAAGTATAACTGTGTTAAGTGATAATGTTGCCTGGATGAGGCTGATGGACTGGGCAAAAGATTGGAAAATCCTGGTTTGAATCAGATGTTAGTTCCTTGAATATATGGAACGAGAGAACAGTCACAGGGGAAATGTCATAAAAATAGCTATAATAGCTGTCATTTACTTAGCGCCTTATTTATGACAGGTATGTTGCATATTGTCTCACATTAAAGTTATGTTACAGATGAAGCAGAATTAGTGACATTGCCCATAGACACACAATAAGTGTTAGAGCCAAATATGAACAGTATACATAAACGCCAGCTCCAGTGTCACCTCCTCCTTCCAGGAAACTTTCCCTGTAACTTCTTTTCACCCCCACGCTCTCTCCTACACAGTCTAGCTTGAGGCCCCTTCTCTGTTTTCTCAAGATAACCAGTTTGTAAATGCAGTTTTGCATTTGCTTATGGAATTGAAATTACAGAACACCTTTGGAATTCAGGGACTTGGCATTTTCTGATGCAGCTACTCCTTCAGTAATTCGATAGTCACAGGTGAGGGTCCATGGTGTGGAGTACCGCAGTGCAGGGCAGGTATACCAGAAGGATTCAGTCCTGTGAGTGTAGGCCCAGCTCTCAGATGTCAATTGTCCAGAGTTTCAGAAGTCTGGATAAGTGTCCTCAGCAAATGTAAATGATCTCTATTTCTTTTTATGTTTGTCTCATCTACCACCTAACTTATTATTTAACTTGGAATTCAGTCTAACACAGCTTCTAGTGCATATTTGTATTTAAGTAGTTATTCATAGTATCTTTAAACCATAGGTCCGTTGCTGTACCACTTTGAAAATTTGGCAAATGAACTTTCCATAGAATTGAGCTATGAGGATATTAAAAACGTTGTTCTACAGTATGGATTCCAGATAGAGGTAAGGATGGAATGAAATATTACCAAAGTTTAACTTCTAAAGCACTTAAACAGGAATAGCGACAATGGCAGTTACTTCTTAACTTCTCTGTTTATTCATCCATGAAGTGAAGATAATTCAAGTTGAGTATCCCTTATCATATGGACATAGACTGATGGTAATTTTATACAATACTTTTTTTTTTTTTACTTTGGCTTAATTACTTCAAAGCATTCAATATTTTTAATAATTTTGTGCACCTGTCACATGTGGTCAGGTGTGGAATTTTCTACTTGTTGCATAATGTCAGTGCTCAAAAAGTTTTGGATTTTGGAGCATTTCAGATTTTCAGATTAGGGATGCTCAACCTGTATTATTTAGCTTTCAGAATTATAAGGATTTGGGATAATGTCTGTGTAGAGGGAAGACTATAATCCCTGGTGAAATAGCCTTTCAATAAGTGATAGCTGATCATTATCATAATATTGGCCTTAGTGGACTCTCACTGATAGATACCAAGTAGATTAGGCTCTGGGGGGAGTAATAGAGGATGGGAAGGCAGGTGTAAGAGGCATATTGTTCACTATATGTCCTTTTGTATTGCGTGATCTTTTTTTTATCATGTTCATTGTAAGGTTTTATGATATTTTGGCTATTGTGTTCTAGTTCATTTATTTAGAAGCATTTCATTCATTTTAAAAATAAACAGAATAAACACCTTCAAGGGCGGCTAAATAAATAATATACAATAGATTTGTTCTTAAGAATACAGAGAAGCAATATATTATAGTAGTTTAGAAAGTTCAAGCTCTGGAGTTCAGCTGCCTGGGTATGAATCCCAGTTATACCACTTACTAGTGTGACATTGAGCAGCTTATACTACCCATTCTTTGTCAAGTGGGATTTCTGATAGTACTGATCTCATGGGAATAGCTGTATGTAATAAATGAATATGCTTAAAATAGTGTCTGCCACTTACAAGTGCTCAGTATTTGTTAATGGTGGTGTCATCATGACTGTCATCATCATTATGATTATTATTTGCATTTCAGGTGGAAGAAGAATCTGTCTTGTCAACATATACTGTGAATGATCTCTCTATGATGAAATACTACTATGAATGTGTCTTGTTTGTGGTCCGTAAACCACAATAATAGTCTTAAGTGATATTACCTGGAAAAAAGTTTAATAAGAGCAAATGATGAAATAAACAACTCAAAATCAACTATCAGTGATGACAGGACACAACCTCAAATCAGTGGTGCCTTCTTATTCCTAACAAAATTTAGAAATAGTGTCTATTTTCTTAATATGTCTATTGCATTTTCAGAAATATACTATGCCATGCAGATTTGTACTACATGAGTAAAAATGGAGGAAATGTCTTCAAGTATACTTTTTCCTTGAAACCCAGAATCATCTTTCAGTAGAAAAAACCTAATCTCCAGTGTCTTCATGAAGCTGTCTGTTGCAAATCTGCCATATTAATGATTAATAGTATTGAAGTCCATAATAATCTTCCAGGTTTTCTTTTGTTGTATGCATTGCACACGTTATTTTTAGAAAAGTCTGAGGATCCTCTGTCATTTTTAACATCTGGAATTGGGACTTATGTTCACTTTAGGCCTAAACAATCTATACATAAAATGCGTGTCTATTCTTTTATCATTCAAATTATTTTTTCTAGCGTAGCTGAATTCAGAGAAGCATCAAACATTTCATTTTTATGAGATGTCAAATTTAATAATATCACAGGCCAGTAAAATGCATTCAAGTAACTGAGAAATTAACAAGTCTTTTGGCTACACTAAACTGAACACTTTATGAAAGCATACTCATCATGGATCACTTTGAAATGTGTGAGATCTCAACAGTTGAAGGGAGGCATAAAACCTTTGTTAAAGGTAGTGCTAGGAAACTGGGAAAAGAAGAATAAAATTTACCCATTTGAAATGGATGATTTCGAACTATAAATGAATACAGTTTGTCAGTGTGATGTTTACAATAATGTCTTTTCTTTAAATTATCTGGATTATGAAAGCAAGCACTTTTTTTCATTAAAACAATTATATACTAGTAAAAACTGTCATAGTATTAATGTGGGAAATTTTGAATATGAAATTCAGGGATAAATTACTGCCCATGGTCTGTGTTTTCATTATTATAAGCAGCAGCCATTATGTAATTTCAGATTAACGCCAATTTTGTTCTCTGATGGATGGAGTTTAAACAGTATATGCTGCTTTAAATTTCTACCTCTAGCAGATCTTTATTGGAGGGAGTTTTCCTTTGTAATTTTTTAAATATATATTATTCTGTTTCCAATAGCTTGGAAAGTGGAGATGACCAATGTTTTAACCTTTTCTTGAAGAAAAGGAAGAAATCTTATTGAATATTTTCACAGATGATTGTGATTGCTTTAAATGGCCTCTGTGGCAATTTGAATTAGATAAATTTAATCTCAGTAATGTGCTAGTAGCATAAATATCATGTTTTAATAGGAAAACTTATTTGTAAGTCTTAGAACTTTGTCACTTAGGTTGGGGGAGTCACTACCCTATTTAGCATGTTACAAGTGTGTTGGGGGGAACTTTTCTGCAAACAGTGATGGAACTTTTGTGACCTTTACTCTCACTATGCAAAGGATTCCATGGAGTTAAATATGACTTTTCAAATTAGGGAGGTCTGTAACCTTTGGCGTTTTTTTTTTAACTATTTCTCCTTTTGTGTCCCTCAATACTTGGCAGATGAACATTTGGTGGGAATGAACTTGAAATTAATTTGCAAGGGGGAAAACAAAACCAATTTTTTTTTTAAGAAAAAAAAGAAACTTAAAAGGTGCATAAGTATTTTTAAAAATCCATTGAATGGAAAGGAATGCATACTGTTTTTGAGTGATCTAGAAATGCTTTTTATTCACTGACTAGTATTCTCTTTTTTACAACTTGTATCAAAACAGGTATCTTTGTTTTTCTCACAGTGGTAAAAACAAGTTGACACTGGGGGGTTGGCTTTATTACTTAAAATTTTTTTGCTATTAGGTTTTTTTTTTTTTTTTTTCCTTGAGACAAGAGTCTGGCTCTGTTGCCCTGGCTAGAGTGCCGTGGCATCAGCCTAGCTCACAGCAACCTCACACTCCTGGGCTCAAGCAATCCTTCTGCCTCAGCCTTCCGAGTAGCTGGGACTACAAACATGCGCCACCATGCCTGGCTAATTTTTTCTATATATATTTTTAGTTGTCCAGATGATTTCTTTTCTATTTTTAGTAGAGATGGGGGTCTTGCTCTTGCTCAGGCTGGTCTCGAACTCCTGACCTTGAGCAATCGTCCCACCTCGGCCTCCCAGAGTGCTAGGATTACAGGCGTGAGCCACCGCGCCCAGCCTTGTTATTAGGTTTTATTCTTTAATAATGTTACTTCTTTCTAAATTATAGCATATATTTTAGTTAATTCTGCGATCAGTCATTTCATTTGTTAATTTCTCCCTCATATCATGAATTTTTCTTAAATGTTCTATACAAATTACATCACTTTTTCATAAAGCTTTTGTAGTTAATATATTCTAAACTTGAAATGTGGTATCAATCAATAATAGAAGTGTCACTGGATGATTTATTTAATTTTGTTTCTCTTAATTTTAGTCCTAGCTACTAAAGTGTGTAAGCCTTAAAGTTTTAAATTTGTTTCTTAAATTAGCTGTATACACAAATGTTTTTATTCATTTTCGTAAAGCGGAAGGAGATAGGTCATTGTGCTTGCTTTTTTTTAAATTTCTATATTCTGAAGCGGTGCACATTTAGGGTATGTTAATCAAGTGAGCAAGGTGGAATATGTAAAATATAAAAAGAAGCTGTATAAATCACAGTATAAAATTATGAAGTTTGGGAACTGTAAAATGTACTGTATTTATATGTAACTCTCATTCTAAAAGTTGTCACACAGGCTGAATTGGAAGCTTCATGTCTGCATGAAATTTCCTATATTTTTAATGTGTATGATGGACTTAATTTTTCTCGAATATTAAAGTCTGCTGATTGCTATGAAACAATATTTGCTTGGTTGTTTCCATCTAAGTTAGTGTAACCATAGATGGGGGAATTTTAATTCATTGAATACATATACTTTTGAACACTTGGATTAGCCTGTTTTATATGTTTCTAGAAAGTCAGTAATATGAGTACTTGGCCTCTGAGTATGCCAGGCTTTTTACTATTTATTTTCATTTTGTTTTATTTAAGTTCACTGTAATGAAGTTGGAATCCACCAAGAGAAAAAAGATTAAGCTTTCATTTTGTTAAATAATAGAAAAAGAATTATAAAGGAAACCAATTGAAGAGGGCTCCAGGACCAGCCATTAGTAGGGTGAACACTTAGATTTTCTGGGTTCATTTTCCTAAACTACTGTTTGTTATCTCAGGCAAGCCATTCTGAGCTTGTTTTCTCATCTGAATGATGTGATTAATACCATCTATTTCAAAGAGTTTTTATTAGGTCATATGAGCTTTTATGTGTGTATGTATAAAAGCATGTGGTAGACAATTTCTGTAAATGTAATTTCAGTCTCTGCTGACTGCTATACAGTGATGGAAAAACATGCAGGTTGGTAGCAGGGCATTAGTTGTAATATTATGTTAAGTAACCCTTTGAAAAATGTTTCAGTGGAATACTGGGGGGAACTGTAAAAAATGGTAAAATGGTAGGTATAGATACAGATTCCAAAAGTTTGGTGGGAATTATAATGGAATTTAATAGTAGGTAGCAGAGAGGGAATAAATAAAATTTAATGGAAGGTTACTCCCACTTTATAAACATGCTAGTACATGCGTCTTGCATGTTTATTTCTCTTTGATAGCTACTTAGAAGTGAGATCATTCAGTCAGTATGTATATGCATTTTCAGTTAAGTTGCTTTTCAAAAAGACTGAACCAATATACATGCCAGCAACTGTGTTTAAGAATAACCTTGTGTCCATTCCATAGTCAATACTGGATATGGCTGAGCTTTTCATTTTTGTCAGTATAGCCATACCTTGTTTTATTGTGCTTCACAGATGTTGCATTTTTACAAATTATAGGTTTAGCAACCTTGCATTAAGCAAGTCTATTGGCACCATTTTTCCAACATCTTGTGCTCATTTTGTGTCTCTGTCAGCATTTTTTAGTGATTAAAGTATTTTAAATTAAGATTTGTACTTTTAGATAAAATGCTATTGCACACTTACTCTAGACTACAGTATATAGTTAAACATAACTTTTATATGCATTAGGAAACCAAAAAATTTGTGTAACTCACTTTATTGTGATGGTCTGGAACTGAACCCACAATATTTCCAAGATATGCCTATGTGAAAAAAAATGGCATCTAGTTTAATATTCATTTAATTATTAGGAAAACTAAGCAATTTCCATGATTGTAATGGCCAAAGAGAGGTGTCTTTCATCTGTCAGCCTTTAGGATTTCATGTGGCAGACCTCAGCCAAAGTTAGCAAAAACATAGGTTCATCAAAGGGAATATTGGCTAGAGCCAGGAGGACTGCCTTGAGTTCTGTCAATTGAGAGGAGAACCGTATCTGCTTTTGCTCTTACATAGCTGGCACTAAAGCTGAACAGCAACAGCTCATTGGACCCCATTATGTTTCATCTTAGCAAACAATCAGTGAAGTAGGCCTAGGAGTTTAGGGGAAACTTGGAGTCAAGGGCCCCATTGAACCAATGGCTTTGCTTTAGGCAGTGTAGTTGGCCATAAATTTACCCCCATAGCTGCCACTTTTTCATGCAGCACCAAAAAGCTGCTCTGGCCAGGCCAGCTGTACTCCTGAATATACTATTTCTATTTGACTGGCAAGGCTTGTTAGGTTCTTTTCACCTTGTTAGTCATCAAGTCCAAGTAGACCCACCCCAAAATGGGGATGTCAAGCCAAAGGGTCATAAGGCCTCAATGAGTCACACGTTTTCGACAAAAGCTTAGTAGCAGAAGGCAGAAGCTGCCTTCTTTTATAAAAACGAGGGTGTACTTGGTGGCTGGGTCAGGCAGTTGTTCCTATTATAGTTTTAGTCACGGAGTACTTAGGGAGCCATTAAGTCTGGCTTTTTTTCTCCTTTTGAGGTTCTGTATTATTTCTGCTGGACCACGCAGGAGGGGACAGTCGATGAGAGCACTCCTTGAAAGTGAGACAGGATGGGAAAGTACAGGCATAAAATACATCAACGCTGTTATACATATACTGGATTGGTCCAAAGAGCC